GCTGCGGGTCGGGAGTGAGGGGCACCGGCAGGGCTGGGGGGGGAGGGCCGGACTAGCAGGGGCTGCGGGTCAGGAGTGAGGGGCACCGGCAGGACCGGGGGTGTGTGTGACTCAGTTTCTCTCTCTGTCCCCCCCCCCAGGCTTTGGCATGGAGGCGACTCTGCTGCTGGTGGTGGGTTATTCCCACAGTAAAGGTGTCGCCATCTCGTTCTTGGTCCTTGCTGTGGGCTTCAGTGGCTTTGCTATTTCTGGTCAGCAGGGGGCGCCGTGGGGCAGGGCAGGGGGTGTGGCAGGGGCAGCAGGGGTGGGGGGGTCAGGGGGTGGGGGTGCAGCAGGGGGCGCCGTGGGGCAGGGAGGAGAGTGGGGACTCGGCGGGGAGCACCGTGGGGCAAGGAGCAGGATGGGGGCCCAGCAGGGACGATGTGGGGCAGGGAGTAAGGCAGGGGGCGCCGTGGGGCAGGGAGGAGAGTGGGGGCTCGGTGGGGAGCACCGTGGGGCAGGGCAGGGGGCAGGGGTTCGGCATGGTGCGCCGTGGGGCAGGGCAGGGAGCGCCATGGGGCAGGGCAGGGGGTGTGGCAGGGGGCACTGTGGGGCAGGGCAGGGGGTGGGGGTGCAGCAGGGGGCACTGTGGGGCAGGGCAGGGGGTGCTGTGGGTCAGGGCAGGGGGTAGGGGCACTGTGGGGCAGGGCAGGGGGCTCTGACCTACTGTCTTTGCTCCCCCATCCCCACAGGGTTCAACGTGAATCACCTGGACATCGCCCCGCGTTACGCCAGCATCCTCATGGGCATCTCCAACGGGGTGGGCACCCTCTCGGGCATGGTCTGCCCCATCATCGTCGGGGCCATGACCAAGCACAAGGTGCGGCGGGGCTGGGGGGGGCTGGGGGATCGGGGGGCTGCGGCTCGGGAGTGAGGGGCACCGGCAGAGCTGGGGGGGGGCAGGGCTGGGTGAGCAGGGGCTGCGGGTCGGGAGTGAGGGGCACCGCAGGGCTGGGGGGGGGCTGTTGAAGCTGGTGCTCATGGGGGGGGACACTCAGGATCCCGGTGTTGGGGGGTTGCTGATCTCACCCCCATCTCACCCCCCCCCCACCCCCATCCAGATCAAAAGGTTTAAAAGGAGGGAAATAAAATATTATTTTGTCTCTTCCTTCTCCCCCTCCCCCACTCCCTGCCCCCCTCACCCCTCCCGCTCCCACGCCCCCAACTCCCCACTGGCCCCACCCCCCCAATTCCTGGGGGGCGCAGACGCGGGAGGAGTGGCAGTACGTGTTCCTCATCGCCTCGCTGGTGCACTACGGGGGGGTCGTGTTCTACGGGATCTTCGCCTCGGGCGAGAAGCAGCCCTGGGCCGAGCCGGAGGAGACCAGCTCCGAGAAATGCGGCTTCATCCACGAGGACGAGCTGGCCGACGAGGAGGACGAGGCCGCCCAGGGGGCGGGCGACGGGGGCGGGGGCGGCTACGGGGCCACCAAGAGCACCAGCTTCGCCAACGGGGGCTGGGTGGCCGACTGGGACAAGAAGGAGGAGTTTGTGCAGGAGCCTGGCAAGGACACCTACATGTATGGGGCGCCTCGGGAGAGGGACCTGTCCTAGGGACCCCCCGACTCTCCGCCTCCCCCCAGGCATCTCTGCGGTGGTACAGTCCAGGGGGGTGGGACCACACTTGGCCACACCCCTATTCTGCAGGCCACACCCCAACCTCCCCCCGGTGTGTTGGTACAGTCCAGGGGGACGGGACTGAGTTTGGCCACACCCCCCCATTCCTCCACTGCATTGGTACAATCCAGCAAGGTGAGGTGGAGCTGAGTTAGGCCACACCCAAATCCGCCCCAAGTGCCACTGAGCCAGGGGGTGGGATTTATTTTGGCCACGCCCAAATCCCCCACGGCATTGGTATAATCCGAGGGGGCGGGGCTGAGTTAGGCCACACCCCCACACTATAGGCCACAGCCCCCTTCATTGGTGCCATCCAGGAGGGCGAAGGAGTGGAGCTGAGTCAGGCCACACCCCGAAGCCCTCAAGCCACAGCCAACCCCCCTCACTGGTACAACCCCCCCTCTATTGGTACAATCCTCTCCCCACCCCCCCCCACAGGCCACGCCCAAATCTCTTCCTCTCTGGGCACCACCATTTGGTATGACCCATCAGGGCGAGGGGGTGGCACTTAGGGTTAAGCTGCCCTACCCCCCGGTCCAGCGGCAATGGTACGACCCATTGGAGCAGTGAGGGGGAAGTCCCCATATCCCACTGACAAGGGTCTGGGGGGAGGGCGGGGCAGAGGTTAGACCTTTGACCCTGAGGTCAGAAGGTCTTGACCTTTGACCCTTGGCCTCTGCAGGGGCACCACTTGACCTTGAGATCAAAAAGCCTTTGGCCGCAGGGCTTGGCCTTGAGCCCAAGTTGACCATGAGGTTGGTGGTGCCTGACCTTTGACCTTGAGACTCCCACGTGCCCCATAATAAATTAACCCCTCCCCCCAGCAGGCCTGGGGGGCAGCACTAGAGATCCATGGGGGGGGAGAGCAGTGGAGGGGGATGGGGGGATGCCCCAGACTGTGACTCCGGGGTCCATTCTGACAGCGTCTTTACAAAGTGACATGACAAATGGCGGTTTTGAGCCACCCCTCATGAGCCAGTCGGCGGTTTTGAGGCGCCCCCCCCCCCCCCCGCTCCTTCTCCGAGCTGCCCGCCCTGGCGGTTCCCAGCCACGGCCGAGATGACGGTTTCAAGCTGCTCCCTGCATTCTCGATTGGCAGGTTCAACACCCCACACGCTGCCGGTGGGGGGTTCGAGACACTTCACATGCTCTAGGTGGGGGGTTCGAGACACCCCGTGCGCTCCAGCTGGCAGTTTCAAGTTACCCTGCATATTTTATGTGATGGTTTCATGTTACCCTGTACAGCTCTAACCAGCGGGCATCCAGGCATCCTGCCTGATCCAATTCTAGCTGGTAGTTTCGGGACACCCCACACAATCCAGCCACCGGTGTCAAGCCGCCCTGCATGTCCTAGCTTGCCGGGTCACAGTTACTGCATTGCAATTCTCCTGGGTATTTTCCAACTGCCTTGCTTCCTCCAGCCGGCGGCTTCAAGTCACCCCACAGCATCCAGCCGGCGGCTTCAAGTCACCCCACAGCATCCAGCTGGCGGTTTCAAGCCACCCAGCACATTCTTAGCCAAGGGCTTCAAACAAGTCAGCGCCCTCTAGTGGGCGGTTTCATGCCCCCTCTTACATGTGACAGTTTCAAGTCCCCCCTTGCATTCTCTCGAGCCGCGTAGCCACCTGTGGAGTGAGGCCCGGCCCTACCCGACATCCCACCTCGCCCACCCCCGCGCTGGTTCGGCCCTGGCACCGCCCAGTTAGAGGCAGGTGGCGATGCTGTGGGTTGGGGGATACCCTCAAAAGTGGGGGGGGGAGACCTGAGCCCACCTGTCCCTTCCCACAGCTCCAGCATTGGAGGGTCTGCCTGGCGTTGAGTGTACGTGTCCCTCCCCCCATTGGAATAAACCAATTCTTGTGTAAATATATAAATATAAATTATATACGGGACCGAGAGTGGGGCCGGGCCTGTGAGAGCTTCCTTCCTGCGCCGGGGCTGTGGGGGGGGGAGTGCGGGGGCAGATCGCTGCCTCTTTGTCCAGCTCCACGGCCCCCCGTCTGTCCACCAATCCCCATCCGCCCCCTCTGCCTGTCTAGCCCCATATACCTCCTCATCCAGCCCCATGGCCCCCCGTCTGTCCACCCATCCCCATCTGCCCCCTCTGCCTGCCTGGCCCCATCCGCCCACTCTGTCCAGCCCCACGGCCCCCCGTCTGTCTACCCATCCCCATCCGCCCCCTCTGCCTGTCTATCCCCATAGTTGGGAATTGGTCCTGCTTTGAGCAGGGGGTTGGACTAGATGACCTCCTGAGGTCCCTTCCAACCCTGCTATTCTATGATTCTATGATATACCTCTCCGTCCAGCCCCACGGCCCCCCGTCTGTCCATCCATCCCCATCCACCCCCTCTGTCCATCCCCACGGCCCCCTGTCTGTCCACCCATCCCCATCCACCCCCTCTGCCTGCCTGCCCCATCCGCCCCCTCTGTCCGTCCCCACGGCCCCCCATCCATCCCCATACGGCCTTCAGCCTGCCTATCCCCATATATCTCTCCATCCAGCCCCACACCCCGCATCTGTCCATCCATCCCCATAAGCCCCCTCTGCCTGCCTGTCTGCCCCAAGGCCTCCCATCTGTCCATCCATCCCCATCTATCTATCTATCTATCCCCATCCACCCCCTCTATCTATCTACCCACAGACACCCCCCGCATCCACCCCCTCTATCATTGGTGCTGTAGTTCAAAGGCATGGCACCAGGGGGCACTGTGCTGCAGGGAGCGGGGGTGGAGGGCTCCGGAGGGGGTGCTCCCCCCTTACTGGGATGGGACTCCTGGATGTGGGGGGCAGGGAAGACCTGGTTCAAACTGTGGCTAATGGGGGCGCAATGGTCCCTGTTTCTGGGCTCATCTGTCCATTGGGAGGGGGGGGGCTGCTAAACCACCATGGCCCATCTGTGATGCTCCTCACTCCTGACCCGCAGCCCTTGTTAGCCCAGCCCTGCCCCACCCCAGCCCTGCCGATGCCCCTCACTCCCGACCCGCAGCCCCCTGGTAGCCCAGCCCTGGGCTCCCCCCAGCCCTGCCGATGCCCCTCACTCCCGCCCCGCAGCCCCTGCTAGCCCAGACCTGCCCACCCCAGCCCTGCCAATGCCCCTCACTCCCGACCCACAGCCCCTGCTAGCCCAGCCCTGGGCTCCCCCCAGCCCTGTCGGTGCCCCTCACTCCCAACCCGCAGCCCCTGCTACCCAGCCCTGGGCTCCCCCCAGCCCTGCCGGTGCCCCTCACTCCCGACCCGCAGCCCCTGCTAGCCTATGAACAGGGGGTCCCGAAAGCAGTTGCTGGCTGCTGAGTGTTCAGGTGGGGCCTGGGCTGCTCGGAGGCAGGTGGCCGGGGAGGTGCCGGGCGCTCGGCACGTGGCCTGGGCAGATGCGACAGGATTAGGCTGGGGCCAGAAATAGACGTTTGGCTCCGGGATTAGGGGGGGCGGGGATGGAGCCAGAGATATAGTGCGGGGGAGGGGCTGGGGATGAATTCCCAGCATCAGCCTCTCCCCCAGTGCCCCTCACTCCCAACCCGCAGCCCCCTGCTAGCCCAGTCCTGGGCTCCCCCCAGCTCTACCGGTGCCCCTCACTCCCGACCCACAGCCCCTGTTAGCCCAGCCCTGCCCCCCCCAGCCCTGCCGGTGCCCCTCACTCCCAACCCGCAGCCCCCTGCTAGCCCAGACCTGCCCCCCCCCAGCTCTGCCAGTGCCCCTCACTCCCGACCCGCAGGCCAGGTGCCATGTTGTGGCTGACAGTAGCGGGGCCAGCTGGGAGCAGCGACAAGGAAGGGCAGGGGTGGTGGGGGGTTCACAGATGGACCCAGTGGGGGACCCGTGAGCGAGGCCAACCCAGCCCCCCAGCCCTGCTGTTCTGAGGGGCGCAGCCTGCAGCCCCCGACGTTTATATGGAAGTTTCCCCATCAAACTGCTGACCTGGACACCACCAGCAGGGGGCAGCAGAGACCAACCATGGAACGAGACACGGGGGCTTCTCCCTCCAGGGGGCGCCAGCGTCTGCTCTGGGAGGGGAGTGGGGACTAGTGGTTGGAGCGGGGGAGCTGGGAGCCAGGACTCCTGGGTTCTCTCCCCGGCTCTGGGAGGGGATTGGGGTCTGGTGGTTAGAGCAGGGGGGGCTGGAAGCCAGGACTCCTGGGTTCTCTCCCCGGCTCTGGGAGGGGAGTGGGGACTAGTGGTTGGAGCGCGGGTGGGGGGAGCTGGGACCTCTGACTCCTAGGTTCTCATACAGTTTGCCCGGCGGGAAGCCACAGTCAGCGGGGGAGGATGCTGCCAAGTGTGGGGATGGAGTCTCTGGGGTGCCCATGCCTTAGCCAAGTGATCCCAACGAGGGGAGAGAAGGGACACTGCGGGGGGGAGGGGGCATAGTCTGTGGGAACAGCCCCCAGCTCAGCTCTCCCGGCTGCCGTAAAAGGTCCCCAAATTAGCGGGGGGGAGCGGGGGCGCAGACCTCGGGGTTGCGTTTCATTCGTCCTCCGGGTCAGAACCACTCCCAGAGAGCCAGAGCCGGGGAGAGAACCCAGGAGTCCTGGCTCCCAGCCACCCCTGCTCTAACCACTAGACCCCACTCCCCTCCCAGAGCCAGGGAGAGAACCCAGGAGTCCTGGCTCCCAGCCCCCCTGCTCTAACCACTAGACCCCACTCCCCTCCCAGAGCTGCAGGAGCGGGGGGAGAAGAGAACCCAGGCGTTCCGGCGGGGGGCGGTGCTAGCTGCAGGCTGGGCGGGGCTCCCCAGTGACTTTACCTCCCGGCCCCCGCGGGTTCTGGGTCCGCCCCCAGAGACACCCCCCGCACCAAGGACATGGCCACCCGCTGGGGCATCTGCTCCGCCGGCATAATCAGCCACGAATTCCTGGTGGCCCTGAAGACCCTCCCGGCCACGGAGCATCAGGTGGCAGGGCTGGGCTAGCAGGGGGCTGCGGGTCGGGAGTGAGGGGCA